GATGACAGACTCGTTGTCCGCTTTAATTTTACGAAGTATTTTGTTTGCTACCCTGCGGCACGAACCCTGCGGCACACCCCTACATACTGTCTTGTCAACGTTTTGGTCACTGAGCTGAAATGTAACAAATCTTTGATCAAGAAAACTCTTGATCATCTTTGTAAGTGTTTTGGTACAATTCAACTCAATAATTTCTGCCACAATTCCGTTCCACAGGACGCCATCGAACGCCCCCTTGATGTCAAGAGAGACACCAAGTGTATGATGCTTTTTCTAGCTTTGGCCTGTTCTATGATGTTTAGGACTGATTTAAGTGCCGTGATAGTCGATCTTCTGGTCCTAAATCCATGTTGATCGTTTTGTAGAAGGTTGTTATATTCAAGAAAAAATTTCAATCTATTTGTAAGAAGCTTATCGAGTATCTTACCCCATGTGGGCAGAAGGGATAATGGCCTATAGGCATCAGGAAGAGCCAAATCCTTGCCAGGCTTTGGTAAAAGGATTAGCTTTGCTCTTTTCCATCTCACGGGGAAGTACTCGAGTTGGAGGCATTTGTTAAAAACGTTTTTGAACCACACTGGTTCGAGGCGATGAACGGTTCTCCATATTTCTGACGGTATGCCGTCGATGCCCGGAGATTTATTTGACTTCAAATTCACTACCACCTGTTCAATTTCCGTGTCCGAAAAAGGCTGTTCCAAATGGCAGCTTATAGTGTTTGGCAGTGACGTGACCAGGTTACTTTCTGTTAAGGTGCCATCCGGTCGCATCTGTCTTTGTAAGAATGCCGTTAAAGAAGTTGCCCCCTTTGCAATTCTGTAGTCAGGCCCAAAACAGTTCTGGTTGGTTAATTTCTCCAAGTAATTGCGAAGTGTCAACCTCTTTTGTTCTCTTATACTTTTTGTGTACAACAACTTTTCCCTTTTAAAGTCAATTTGCTTTAGTTTTCTAATGGTGGGATCGGTCTCTTTTTGGAAAAGCCTTCTTTTCGCTCTCAGTTTCTTACGTTAAATTGAGAGGTCTAAAGACCACCATTTCGGGCTCTTAATAAAAGATTTACCAACCTGTTTTCTAGATTTACCACAAATCTTTATCATTGCAGTCATTACATCTTCAATATAAGAATCCATTTTCGAACAAGTATCAACCTCCTCCAATCTATTTCTACAACTATCAATCAATTTCTTAGTTTAAATTGAAAAGTTAAATAAGTCAATGTCTGAATAATTAATACGACACGTACTCAGTTTCGGTTGAAACGCTTCGTTTATTTCCATAAGAATAAGTCTATGATCGCTCAACGTGTCCTGATCCATGACTCTCCAATTATCAATCTTGACATTTTGTGTGATTAGTGTCAAATCAATCCAACTTTCGCCAATAACGGATGAAAAGGTGGGTAGAGAGTCAGGATTGTTAACAATATCCAAATCCATTAAAAAGATAAAATCAATCATTTGTTGACCTCGTTGATCGTTTACATTACCCCAAAGGGTACTTTTGGCATTGAAATCGCCATTAATAATAAAAATACTATTTTGATGCCGAAGAATAAAGTATTGCAGTTGATCCAGGGGAGTCGATAGATCGGCAGAGGGAGGAATGTATATAGAAACAAAATAAAAGTACAAATTACTATAAGTGACCTCAATAATCACCATATCTCTACTCACTAGTGCTGGAAAAGGCACTGCCCCTTGTCTTCTAATTAGGACAGCACATCTTGGTTTGCTATCTGCTGCGATTATTTTGATGTCATTTTGAAAATCAGTTATTCTATTCTCATTATCATAGTATGGTTCGTTAATTGATCCAATCATAACTTGGTTTTGTATGAAGTCTATGGAGTGTTGAATATTTGCGATTTTGGTATGAGCAAGATTTATATGAGAGATATTAATACTGTTTAACTTATTAATCATAATTTATTCTTTTTATTATCAAATCTCTCTCCCACAGATATCTCTTGCATTTTTCACTGGTTGCACTGTGACCGATATTGAGTTTTAATCCATACTTAGAGTTTGCCAGCTTGCAATTTCCACATTCAGGTTTTGACCTGTAGTATGGTGATATCTACGAATGGTGATACCGGGATCATTATGAAGGGTGCGTTTACGACAAAAAATGAATGCATGATATTTTAGTAGGTGAAAGGGTGTGACCGTTGTGGTTGCACCAGGGCTAAAGAGAATAGAAGGGCTAGTTCACTCCGCTCTTAGAGCTGAAGCTACGATTTCCCTCCTCATGAAATCACTGTGTCCACAGATCTCGGAGATCGCAAGAAAAGATATTATGATAACTTTGCATCTTTCTCTTTGTAAAAATAAGTTAGACATTTTCTGGTTCTTAGTTTTTAAACTTTACGTAATTAACACTTTATTTCCGTTCATAAACATAGTTCAAAAAAACTTTCTTGGCCATAATATTAAAAAAATACCATTTTAAGCTTATAAAAATATTTTACTAGTTAGCGAAAATGACACTATAGATACTTTATTTTAAAAAGTTCCGTTTTAACTTAAATTATTAAGAAAAATTAAAGCATATATTGGCATTTTTTTATCTACATATTCTGTTATAACAATAAGTTGAGCTAAATTTAGAATCCCTAGTTTTTAAATATGCCGTTAAAAGCAATTTGTTCATACTTAATCATTAAGAAACATCAATCTTATACGCTAACTACTGAAACAAAATAATAATTTAGGTACATTTCGTTAATTGATCCAATCATAACTTGGTCTTGTATGAAGTCTGTGGAGTGTTGAATATTTGCGATCTTGGTATGAGCAAGATTTACATGAGAGATAATAATACTGTTTAACTTATTAACCATAATTTATTCTTTTTATTATCAAATATCTTTCCCACAGATATCTCTCGCATTTTTTTACTGGTTGCACTGTGACCGATATTGAGTTTTAATCCATACTTAAGACAATAAACACAAACCTAAATACAATTTTTTACGAGTGCTTAAATTATTCTAATTGATTGTTTAAAATTGGAAAACCTTGCAATAAGTCATCGCTTCCAAAATGATAATTTACTTTTTTTTTATCTTACTACCATATGCGGCTTCTCTGCCATTAGTAAAATGATCAGGAAGCATAAAAGTTAACGCCCATAGAATTATCATTAAATAGCTCAAAAATAAAAATTTCTTTAAGTAATCACTATCCACATTATCCTGGTTTCTCAGAAGATAAAATAATCAGTGTATGCTGACTTTCGTGTATCACTGTAAGTGTTTTTGTAATTGCTCAACAACCAAATGAAAGCAAGCAGTTGGGAATTTAATTGAGCAGGATATTTCGCCCTTATCTGCTATTGAATCTTAATATAAAGAGACTGTGTCACTTTTCATTTTGCTGTTGATAATTTTCTTAATATTACCCAGAGGAGAATTATGTTTAAGCATAAGAGATCCATAATCGGCCGTTTTTCCTGCCTACTCAATTTCAAAAAGGAATTCACTGGAGGGTGATGCTATCCCTGAACTTCTTAAGTTTAAAACGCTTCATTCTGCTGGTAATGAACCTGGGCGTTATCATGATATTTTGAATCTGCAATCAACAAAATAGAAGCTTGAGAATTGATAAGGAATCGGGAACAATACTGTTTTTTCTTCTAATTTATAAATCGCGAAATATGTATTGTTATTTTTCCTTTAAAATTGTCACAGTACTTCTCAACAGGATAGCTAATACTGAAATATACTCGAGTAGGATCTAGCATGGGCATTTCTTTTCGAATTTCCGGCCGAACCATCTGCGTACACATTGTGTCATTTGTTGTCCCCCTAAGACTATCAATTCATGCCAAAATTTGCTTGACATAGCTCGAAGGGGTAGGAGTAAATTAGGTCCATTAAAAAGATAAAATCNTTTTAATCCGGTCTTTACTGATGGCTCAAAAACTAATGGTCACACAGCATCAGCTGTTGTGGCCAATGGATCCACTGTTTCAGAAAAACTTCCCCCGTCCTGTTCAGTATTTACAAGTGAGGCACACGCAATATTCTTGGCTTTACAGTTTATTTCATCTCAACCACTAAAGAAATGGCACATTCAATAACCAAATGAAAGCAAGCAGTTGGGAATTTAATTGAGCAGGATATTTCGCCCTTATCTGCTATTGAATCTTAATATAAAGAGACTGTGTCACCTTTCAGTTTGCTGTTGATAATTTTCTTAATATTACCCAGAGGAGAATTATGTTTAAACATTAGAGATCCATAATCGGCCGTTTTTCCTGCCTACTCAATTTCAAAAAGGAATTCACTGGAGGGTGATGCTATCCCTGGACTTCTTAAGTTTAAAACGCTTCATTCTGCTGGTAATGAACCTGGGCGTTATCATGATATTTTGAATCTGCAATCTACAAAATAGAAGCTTGAGAATTGATAAGGAATCGGGATCAATACTGCTTTTTCTTCTAATTTACTGTTTTTTCTTCTAATTTACTTCTAATTTACTTCTAATTTACTCTCTAATGTACTGTTATTTTTCCTTTAAAATTGTCACAGTACTTCTCAACAGGATAGCTAATACTGAAATATACTCAAGTAGGCTCTAGCATGGGCATTTCTTTTCGCATTTTCTGCCGAACCACCTGCGTACACATTGCGTCATTTGTTGTCCCCCTAAGACTATCAATTCATGCCGAAATTTGCTTGACATAGCTCGAAGGGGTAGGAGTAAATTAGGTGTGACACTTCCATTTATAAGATAAAGTTGAATGACAAGGAATTTAATTAATATGCAATACAGTAAATAAGCGAAGAGATATTTTATAAAAGCATTTAATGAAAAATAATAACAGCGAAGTATATGTTTTTGCGAAGCGTTCTATTTACATATCTGAATGTTGCCACCTTTTTATATGAAAGTTAAACTATTCTCTGCCTTAATAAAATTAGACTTATGCGAACCTTACATTCGGCCCCGCTCAATGCTAAATGTAGATATTTACATTGAAGTGTAAACATTAAGGTTCTAGGACAGATTTTGTCTTATAAGTCTTTCAGGCGGGCGTCGATTGCGTAGCAGATCGTAGCGACTCGATATGATGTTCGGGTAATTTTCAGAATCCTGGATGTTTTCTACTGGATGTAATTCGGAAACTGATTCTTCCTCTTCTTCCGAGCTCTCTTCTTCCTGGGGGACTGGCGTATCTCGCATGTGATATGGACGAAGATGTTGTACGTGAACAACTTTCAAAAGATTCTTTCTTTGATCCATAGACTTGATCTCGTAGCATACGGCCCCGACTGGACGAACAATCAGAAACGGTCCTCTATAAATGGGAGAAAGTTTATGAGCTTGTTTAGGCCAGTCGTATAAGACGAGATCTCCTGTCGTAAATGAATGAGATCGACGGTGAAGATCGAATCTGCGCTTATTATCTAGATGTTTTTCGTACACATTATTTACGGCTTCGGCCCTGGCTAAAGTAAGAAGGTCAAGTTGATCTTCACGTGGCGTGTCATCGATGAAACTTGCAATGTGTAATTCACGTGGAAGGCGTGGTTCATATCCATGAAGCAAATAAAATGGGGATCTTTTAGTTGAATTTTGTCGTGTGGTGTTGATTGCTAATAAAGCGTTAGGTAATAATTCATCCCATTTTTCTGGATGTCCATTTTAAAAAGACGGCTGCGCCATATGAGATAAAGTTGAATGACAAGGAATTTAATTAATATGCAATACAGTAAATAAGCGAAGAGATATTTTATAAAAGTATTTAATGAAAAATAATAACAGCGAAATATATGCGTTTGTGAAGCGTTCTATTTACATCTCTGAATGTTGCCACCTTTTTATATGAAAGTTAAGCCATTCTCTGCTATAATAAAATCAGACTTATGCGAACCTTACACATTGAAAGAAAGGTTGGTGAGTTTTCTCTATAATGAAATCAATACAATTAGAATCTCAACCAATGCTGCTTGTTGTCAGCTAACTCACAATCACTTAAGTGGGCATTGATTTCTCCAAAGATAAGTGATTTTCTATTCCCAATCAAGTATTTTTTCAAACTCAAAAGAATTGTACGAGAAGAATTTCTTAAATTAAACCTCCATTCATGCGTCTGATAAATAATTTAATTTTAAATGATGAAATCGCCGAATACTAGATATTCAACTTCACTATCAAAGCAACCAAAAGTGCTTTAATTTCCCACCACTTCCTACCCATCATGTTATAAAGAAAGCGAATG